ATAAACTATTAACGAACATATAATCTAGAGTTTTTTTTTTGATCTCTTAGAATCCTTTCAGGTATCATCATTTAATATAAACTATGGTAAATATTGAAGAACTAATTATTCATTAATACAAACTTTAGTATTTTAATTTATAATTTTCCCTCTGATAGCACGATGCTTGTGTGCTGGAAACTACAGCGCATTGGGTATGTTTTTAAATCTATCTACAAACACTCTCGTCTACAAATACTCCTAAAAATGCACGGCAAAGAGTTACGGGTTCAAGGGTAAAGAGGATCGGCAATAAAGCTTTATAAATTCCTTAGATTCGTGAAAATGTCTACTACAAATCTGCATATAGTAAAGATTTGAAGTAGACATTTTTGTCCGGAACCTTTAGGTCTACCATATATGAAGTTTCTAACCAGTCAGATAAACCTATGCAAGGTTAGGTTATACTGGCGATCCCTAGTGGATCCACTTAGGCCTATAGGCCGATTGTATTACCGTATATATAAGAAAAACTCATGACTTAAGACCACCTAGAATCTTTGGCGAAGCATAAAATGCTATTTAACCAAACTGAGATTAATATTTTGTAAACTAAGTAACATATTATATTTAATTATACATTAATTTTAATATTAATAAAATTTACGTTAATTTTTATTTTATACAACAAATACTTTTATAAGAAACTCATTTGTCGTTCATTCAATGTTACAACAGGTGTAAAGCGCGCCCATAAACCAGCGTCCTGTCCTGGTTTTACATATGGAAAAGTAGTGATGATCGACGTGGTTCAAGTTGAAACTTAAATACTTATTATAATTGAAATCTTAATCACATTGTCAGTGAAGTGAAACTGTCCTAACTCTTTCCAGTTAAAATTTGTGATAGAGAAGCGACCTGAACTTGTTTGAAAGAGTGAACTGTACCTGGTCGGCTGTGAAAATGGATTGGCTACAGCAACAACGAAATGAAAAAGGGTAGATAGAGAAAGGGTATTTGTTTCGAAATGATGTAAGTGAAGGGGGTCAGTTCTACGAATTTTACTTTGAAAAAATTAAAAATATCAATTTTATTGAATCTTCTAAAAATCAACTTAGAACTAACAATAAATTATCGCTGCTAATTACTGTATAAGAAGAGAAAATAGATAATTAATTGTCCTTATCCAAAGCTTCGTCCAATTTCGTTTCCATGTCGGACATTATTCTTTAATAGCCGGGTTTATGTAGTTCTGTTTGAGTCGCTGGGTTCCAGTTCTTTGAGTAAGATTGCTTGCAGGTGGGTTTTGGTGGTTCCTGAGTTTGATTTTGTACTTCTGTGTGTGGCTGACTACTTCATAAAATTTTATTTAATAGTAAGTTATACATAAGGAAATAAGATTCTGTGGTTAGGCTAACTGAGAATTTTTATCTAGTTGTTTGTTTCATATTTAAAAGTACTGGCATAATATATAATAAAACATAAATCTATTTCACTATTAGGTTTAACTCAATTTTTTAAAAATGTCACACCTTCGTACAAATCTTCGATCGTGAGCCATCGTATGAGAAGAGCTTCTTGCCGCCTCATGAGTTGTGAGCAGAATGAGCCGAAAAGAGATCTTTGACTTAATATCTATATTTAAAAAACAACTAAACAAATTTTTTAAGTCTTGTGTTTAACTCTGCTATACTCTGAGTATACCCCAGCTTTGGAAAGGGCCGGCAAAGGTTATTACAAAATATAAAATTACATTTTAATTCATCCTTTTATTTTGGTCTTGATAAAATAAGCAGTCTCAGGAAATAATCAAAATTGACTGCAATAAAAGGTAGTAGCGATCACAAAAAATATGAAAACCGTACAGACAATGTTCGCACCAACTCACTTACAGTTATAGGTCAAAGACCTAAACATGCAGTTACTAAACGGGCATCAAGTGTAAATCATTGGATCAGGAACTTGGCACCAACTAAGTCATACACAGAATTTTGTTTAAATTTATACTTGTTATGAGTAATATAATATTTTATTTTCCTTAAAATTTTTTTTTTATTTTTTATATTATAGAAAAATTATAGATTTCAATTTTCTTGTATAACTTGTAAGAATTGTTTTTTAATAAAGTTTTATAATTAATGTGCTTAGTTTTATGATTTCATTTATACATTTGAGTTTTATTCAAATTGAAAACAAAAAATGCGTTTGTATTCTGTAAGAAGACCTTACTAAAATGATAACTAACCTTATAATTATTATTGTAAGTGAATAAGTGGATGAATTTAGTAATCTACAATAATAAAAAAATATTTTAATGGCAACATTTTCAAATTCCCAAAAATTATGTTAAGACATTATGTTAAGAATTAAGACATTATGCCGAAGCCGCATTTTATTGTTTATAAGTCGAGTGACATATTTTGAATCGTTAGTATTATAAATATATGTCCCTACACCCCACCCTACACTCAATTCCATATTTTAGTTCTGAATAAAATAAACTATAATACACACATTTTAATCATTTGATTTATGAACATTCCAGAACAGAAGACAGCAACTTTTAAATACAAAATCCATATAATTAGCAAATGCTATTATTAGATGTAGAAAGGTTATACAACGAGCAGATATAGGTATAACTTAACATACTTACATATAAGAGGTACAACTAAACATATTTGCATACAAAATAGCAAAATAGTATTTTAATAGTATATGTTATATAATACCACAAATTTTCAATCCAATGCAGGGTCTGAAATTAACTTTCTACCCATTTACAACAATAAATTCGGCTTCTGCTGATGTAAAAATTAAAAAAAGGTTTTTTATTTTTTCAAAATAAAATAATATAAAAAAAACTCATAAGTTAGATACGTATCCAAAGTAACATAAATATATAAAAGTCTATTATAATTAAGTGTCGTATAGAGGTTTTATATAATGAAGCCACATTAGTTTTATGTCGTTCTACAAATGAATCGACGGCTCAAAACAATTTCAGAATACAATTGTATTCTGTGATTAACAGAATTTTTTCAATAAGTTATGGACAAGAATTGCCATATCCACGTTATAAAATTATATTGTATTAAGGCTACCATATTTATTTTTATTATTGATAGATACGTAATGATTTTTTTGCTACGTTACACAGTTTATAAAGACATATCCAATAGAACTTTCTTCAGCAACATGGATTCAACCTACTGGAAACGAAATTACACTTCCTTTGAATTTTAAATCTGAAAAACAAATTAAATCAGGTTTTCCTTGAGATTTAAAAAGTTTTGACTTAGCATATTTGACAACATTTTCTTCATAATTTTTCAGAAACAATTTTGTGTTTATCTATTCAAAATTTCCGGTCACTTCAAAACATGTTTCGAACTTTCTTCAACAAAATTTTTTAATATTTAGGGTATAAAGAAGTATATAAGGAAATAAGATATTTGCTAACGTGCCATTGACAAGGTGTACAAGAATATAGAGCCCGAAGATAACATTCGGAATGCAACCATCACGTTTTCCTATATATAATAAATCGTAATTCACGCTTAACAACAATTTCTCGTTGGGACATAAACTTCTAATTGGGATCCAAAGTAAGTTTATCGGTTGTTTTAAGACTCCATTAATCAATGTGCTAAAGTCAAAGAACGAAAGTCGTAAAGTTCACTTTGAGATTTCATAACCTAAACGTTGACTCAAGCTCTTAGTGTATAAAAATTTATTATACCTATAGTATTCATACTAGGTTGTAAAAAAAGTATTCTGCAGACTACTACATATGTATATAAAATAACAATGGTTGATTATTGTCACAGTAGTCTGTCTGCGAGATTGGAGCTGACCTTCGCGGTCACTGGCTTTGTTTTTTCTTTTTTTCTATTTTTCCGCCGACAGGCTTTCCTTTGAAAGCATATAGAGCACCAGGTTTAGGCGGCCTCAGCCAATGTCGAGAGGTTGTTTCGGCCTATGTGAAGAAAAAAATTCATTCGTAAAGAATTTAATTTTCCCTCTACCACCCATTTTTGAGAAACGTGCACGGATCCGCCATTTGAATACGCGAATTCTGGTGACTTTATATACACTTCAACAGAATTAATATAAAATATGTCTATTTCGAAATGTGACTTTTATTCCCGCAGGAAGTTTTGTTGAGTGTAAGTTTTAATAATTTTTTATGACATCGTTCTTGTAGATCAGATATCAAACATGTAGTAAAACTGCATGACAGATACTGACAGTTTTGTATAAATTACAAATACTCAGTTAATGACTGTAAATGCTAATAAACTTATTTTAGAGAGTCTTGAGATAACGTCTTTCGAGAAAACGTTCAATAAACAAATAACATAATAATATGGAATATGTGAAATCAATGAAATAATTCTAAAAATTGAGTTTGTCTAGTAATATGCTAAAAATTTTTTTCTCCGTAATAAATTTTGCTTTAGAACACGAGTTTTGTAACAAGAATTGTTGGCCTGACGTATACTAGATATTTAATACATAATCATTTAATAAACAAGTGAAAATGATTAAAAGTTCGATATCTGGCAATGCCACTAAACCTGAAAGTATAACCAAAGTATCTATAGTACAAAGAAGTGCCACGCTCATACAAACGAAATACCCACTTTATTTTGCTGGTGGATTTATAATAAATCCACCCAACCTCATGCGACAATGTTCGATCGAGTCACCACTGGTATGATGTTCAGTTCAAACCTATATGTGAGTCGAGTAAGGCTGACAAAAACCTGACTGCATACGTATTCAATCATACATGCAACCCTCTGTATTACATTATATGCATGTTTGTATGTTTGTTCG